TGAGTCCAACACGATAGTTGAGTCGAACATGATAGTCGAGTCGAACACAATCGTCGAGTCGAACACGATCGTGCCCGATCGTCGAGTCGAACACGACAGTGCCTGATCGTCGAGTCGAACACCATAGTGGAGTCGAACACGACCGTTGAGTTGAACACGATCGTCGAGTCCAACCCGATCGTCACGATCGTCTAGATGGTGCCCTGTCGTCGAGTCGAACACGATCCTTCCCTGTCATCGAGTCGAACACGATTGTGCGCGGTGCAATGTTATCGAATCGTTCATGATTATGTGCAGTGCAATGGACCGCGTGCGTCGTGTCCTGGAAGATCGTGCATGGGTTGCCTGCGTGGAATGTGGGTGTGGATTGCGCACATAGATTTTGTGTTGTGTGTTGTTGTGGGTTTGTTTCCATTGTTGGGGGGAGGGGGGGGAATTGTTCTATGCTGCTGTTGATCGTTGCGCTTGTGCCGTGCAGGGCGTCGGGGGGGGAATTGTTCTATGCTGTTGTTGACCGTTGCACTTGTGCCGTGCTGGGCGTCGTCTCTTCACTGTTGCTATGGAGATCTCTCATATGACCCCAGCACTTTGGCGTGCACGCAAGGTATACCCTTTCCCACCTTGCGCGCTGTACATTCGACAATGTCAGGGCAGCATAACCTATGACAGCGCTTGTCCCGAAGACTTCAAATGCGACCCTTGGATGAGAATCCTCCCGTTTGGCGACAAACATTTGGACTCGTGGGAGGAATACGAGCGAGTGAACATGATGGAGAGATGCCCGTGGGCGTGAGATTATGAGTTCGAGAATATGTCGGAATTCGGCAAACGCATTCCTGTGTCGTTCAATGTGCTGCGTCCCGTGCGCTTGCCTCAATTGTGTAAAAAGCTTAAAATTAGCCGTCTTGTGGGGGTTTTGGACTGCGAATATGTGATAACGTCGCCTCGCACCTGATGCCGTGTTATGAAACAGGAGTTACTCGATTGTGCGCGACATTCTCAGTTTCTCGATCTTTATCCGTTGCGATCTCCCGGTCTGTCGCCAAGAGCAGTTTCGTATTGTTGTGTGAGATTGCGTCTGGCATACTTTATCTTCTGTAGGGTCCTCTGTATTGCCGTTTCGAGCAGGGCAAGAAACTTGACCGACGCTGTCGTGTATTTAACCAGGAACGAGTTGTTTATGTCAGGGAGAGATATGTGTTTAGTTCAAAGAGAGGTAGACGGGAGACTAGATATCGTGGTGGGTGGTCGGGTGAAGGACGTTGGCGCATAGCGCAAGGTCGAGGCTAAATTCGTTTTAATTCGGGATGCTATAGGCGCTTCTCTCGTCGGGAACTCCGGGTTCGTGCGCATGACATACATTTCGGTGTTTGCTGAGATGGCGCAGCAGCTTACCTTCGGATCGCCACTTAGCGTGTTGAATGACCGCAACGGCGAGGTTGTTCCCTGTAGTCGATAGATAGTCTTCGACGACATACTGAATGACCGCAACGGCGGGAGAGCAGTCCATGGTCGATGGATAGCCTTCGCCGTTCCACATTTTTCGACTCTGCCACTGTCGCAAGTTCGTGGATGTGTCGAGACCGATGTTGACAGCTTTTTGATTCCGTTTTCGTCCGACGTTGACAGTTTTTTTATTTCGTTGTGCGTTCAACAATGACGCAAAGGGAGGGTATGCAGATGTGCATCGGGGTTGACAGCTTTTTGATTTCGTGGAATTCGCATTGCGATTGCTGTTTTCCATGTGTTATTTTGATAACAATACGCGGTATCTGCTAGTTGTTCTCATCATRTGTTCAGTGGCGAAAAGTACACACGTGTGACGTTGCTGTCCTCATATTGTTTTTCGATTCATTGAAACCCGGGAATGATGACACGTGTTTACGGTTTGGGTTTGGACACCGACACATCGCTGCCAGCCCGAGTGTTTGATTGTTGTTCTCATGTTGTGTTTCCTTTCGGAAAAAAAAACTCGTTGTTCTGATGTTTTGCTTGCACAAGCATTCAACAGTCATTGTATCTCCGTATTAACCAGTGCCTGCGATCTGTTGTTTTCTGTTCTCGTGATCAAGTGCCCCTTCAGGCACCATCCGCCAACCATTGTGTCGAACACAAATGTCGCACGGCATACCACAGTGTCGCTGTCGTGTTCGACACGATGGTCGCCAGACGGTGCCTGAAGGGGCACTTGGTCGACTGTCGCACGACAGACTACAGTGTCGCTGTCGTGTCGAACACGACGGTCAGCTCCCCTTCAGGCACCGTCTGGCGACCATCGTGTCGAACACGACATGGACACTGTGGTCTGGTGACCAGACGGTGCCTGAAAGGGTGCTTGGTCGACTGTCGCACAACAGACAACAGTGTAGCTGTCGTGTTGAACACGACGGTCGGACAGCCCGCGCAGTGCCGAACTCAACGTCTAGCAGGACGACGAGTTGGTCGACCGTCGGGTTCGACACGACAGTGACACGATGACACCGCAATGTCGCTGTCGTGTCGAATTCGACGGTACTAGAGGATGTCGTGGCACTGCCGTCGAGTTCGACACGACAGTGAAACGACGACGAGCTGGCGGGCTGCTGCCTGCTTCCGTTGCTCTGTGTTCTTGTCTATTCTTGTTCTCGAATGGTGTGGTGTTTGTGCGTCGGCGAAGCAATGGCTGCTTTCTCGCTTGTGCGTTTTCTTCAGTTGCGACTAGCTGCTCGACATGAATCGCGAGGGGAAGCCAAGCAAACGACGTACTAGTACTGGTTCCGGGAGCATGGAGCAATCTCCGAAAAAACCGAAGGGGACACCGACGGCTGGCGTGGGAGCTGGCGACACACCGGGGTCTAAGGGCCACCGAACCCCGGTGCTGCGGGGTGCACCTTCTACGGGCACTCCTTCCGCCCATGTTCGAGGTTCGAGACCGGATTCGGCTGTGTTGATGAGTGGTGGGGCTGCGGGTCGAGAAGAGGAGGCTACTGGTTGGCAGGGGAAATCTACGATGGACGTTGCGCCCAGGCGTAGAAAGTCTGGTGACACGTCCGTTGCAGATGTGGGAGACGAGGTGCCTGTCGTCGACCACAAAGAGAAGTGTTGGATGTTGGATGGGTGGGTGGAATCGGGGAACCCTCGGGTGGGCTGGTCTTGTAAGTGGTGATAAAAGATAACATGGTTCCGATTGGCGGTGTGGTGAAGTGGAGTGGAGGAAATTCACCGTTCGCCATGTTGGAGTTGATGATGGTCCTTAACGCTAGAGGTGAGTGGATGGC